TTGACAGTCCCTCTAGGTTGTGGGCTGCTTGCCTGTGTTCCTGAGAAGCATCTACGGTACCAGTCTATAGAGTGTGTTTTCTTTAGTGAATTACCGGTATGTTTACCGGTAATAAACTTGCACGGTTTTATGTATATGTTTGATTACATACAGCCTTGTGACAGTTTTCCTGCATGTCATAAGCATTTGAATATAAATTAAAATGTTAAAATCAAATCTGATATTGTTTTACCTTTTATTTGGTGTGTCGAAGGTGTGCGGAAGAGGGGGTAGTCTTATACGGCGAGTATATAACAAACTCTGTATTTTGAGTGGAAATGTTAGGGGGTCGTCTTATACGCCCAGTCGTCTTATTCGCCGGCAAATACGGTAATATTGTGTGATATAGTCTGCTTAAGCCAGTGTGATGGAAAAGAATCATTTATTTGAAACTATGGAAAGATTCATGATAGATTGTTAAGGATCTTGAATACTTGCCAATAGATCAGGACTCCCAGCTAGTCAATTGTGTTTGAAGCATTATGTAACACAATGTATGTGAAATTACTTTGTAAACTCCAAATTTTTGCCAAGTGCCATTTGTCTTAAAAATAATTGTTTATCATCTTTGTGTACTGTTGGTAAGAAGGTAAACTACTATAGCCACTATGAAAAACAGCGTGTTGGTTCATCAAAAAATGAAAAATAGAATAACTGTATGATCCAGCAATTCCACTTCTGGGTATATACCCAAAAGAATTAAAAAGCAAGCAAGGTCTTGAAGAAGTACTTGTATACCCATGCTCCTAGCAGTGTGTTATTCACAGTAGCCAAAAGGTGGAAGCAACCTAAGTGTCTATTGATGGATAAGTGAATAAACAAAATGCAGTATATAGGTACAATTGAATATAGTTCAGCCTTAAAAAGGAAGGGCATTTTAAAAAACAACATAAATATGGAACATTATGCTAAGGGAAAGAAACCAGACACAAAAGAGCAAATATTGTAGATTCCACTTATATGAGAGACCTAGAGTAGTCAAATTCATAGACACAGAAAGTAGAATGGGGGGAAGGGAGGAACGGGCAATTATTGTTTAATGGTAACAGTTTCAGTTTTGCAAGATGAAAGGAATTCTAGAGATGAATGGTAGTTGTAGCACAACAATGTAATATACTTAATACCACTGAACTGTACACTTTTTAAAAATGATTAAGGTGGTAAAAAAAAAAAAGGTTCTTAGTTGTATATTTTACCTCAGGAAAAAAATAAGGAAAATAATAATCCTCATCATGTTGGGGAGAGACAAGTGGGTGAAGATATAAGTGAAACAAAAATGGCAGAATGTTGATAGTTGCTGAAACTGAGTCAGAGTACATGAGGGTTCATTGGACTAGTCTGTTTTGTATACATTTGAAATTTTCCATAATAAAACATTTTTGAAAATGATTATTTGTTATTCAGGTTAGAAGTCTATATTTGTTCCCATCGTGAGCAGAGTGCCCACCCAGTTATGACATGTTTTAATTATAAACCTGATCATCTTTAGACAGCAGTCTCTTTCTGTTAGCAGGATTGATACATCAAAGGCCTAGAATATCCAAATCCGCTAAGAAAATTAGACACTGGAAAGCACAAACATTCTGATGTGTATACACATGAAACTTCAAAATGTACAAAATCTAGTCTTTAAGCCATTTAAAAATGGAGGATGAAGCAAATTAGAATTTTTTAAAAATCAGTATCTTTAAATTTTATAGAGTTCTTTCTCTTGGTTATAGAATACATATCATATGGGGATTTTGTACAACATTGACGAAAGTACACTTTTATTTGTATAGAAAATATCTAATTAAGTTTAATTATATGATGGGTTGGTTCTGAGCAAAACTCAGACCATCCTGTAGTCATAAAAGAACTGAAATATCTACAGCTCATTTTAGAGGATGTATATTTGTTTTTGTTTTATTTTTTGGACTTTTTTTAATTAAAGTATAGTTAAAAAGAATATTGTAGTATACTTTTTAAAATAAACAAATACTGCTGGGGTCCAGCCCCAGCAGGTCCAGGGGTCCCCAAAGGTGTGGACAGAGTCGGTGAAGAAGGAATGACACAGAGGCAGCCTTCAGGTGATCAACAGCCTTGCCAGGATCTCTAGCCACAATCTCCAGCCAAGTGCTGTGTCCATGTTCTCTTGCTAGGTTCTCCAGCCAGGTTCTCCAGGTTCTCCAGCCAGGTTCTGTAGCCATGTTCTCTCGCTAGGTTCTCCAGCCAGGTTCA